ATTGCACGCTCTAATCTCTATTGTGTTCAATGTTCATCCAACATAATTTCATAAGAACAGTTCCGCGCTTAACATTCTGATTTCAGGTGTATTAAAATTATTTGAGATTGTTTGATTCTGTGGCTTTAGCCTGTCCATAAAGGGTTTGACAGCATGCCCATTTTATTTGAGATTGTTTGTTATCAGTTGGTAGCATGTTGGTGACTTCTGATTGTTGTAAAAGCATTTGTAACTTGTTCAGTTTTTTTTAGTGTGCTGACACTTTTCTGGTCAAATGAACAGTCAAACAAAGGAAAAAAACGTAAAAGAGAGCAAAAAAGTCTATGTTACTGTATGTAGAACAGTAGAAGGAACAATTGTTATTACTTACTATGATTATCTTAAGTTATTCTATACTTAAAGGGACATCAAATTTTCTTATTGGTGTAATCGATAACCGAATCGATAAGCCCCAAATATCGATAAATCGAAATCGAAAAAATCGAAACCTTATTGAAACGATAACGATAAGCATATGTATAAATCGGTAATCGATAAGTAATTATCGATAAAGGTCAAAATCGAATGCACACCCCTAATTCAGACCCATTAAGTGGTTATAAAATTTAAAAAAACAAACATACTTAATGGTTAATTTATGGGGATTTCTGAATAACATATAGACTATCTATAATTTCACCCGGATCTCCACATTATAAAAAATTATAAATTATATTTTGGAAAATAAAAACATGCACTTTATATTACGTGGATATTTCTGCGTGTCCGAAATAAACCACGAGAAGCCTGTCGAATGTTGTAGAAACCTCAACCGTTCCTATCAAAAATTAACTGTATGAACATCCTAGATTACTCTCGAACTGGATTAGTTTCTTGATTCCACCTTTTTTTTCTCGGCCCCCTTACTATAAATAGCAGACCCCTTCTATCGTGCACTATCAGAAAATCATCTAAGCAAATCAAACACTATAATCAAAACTCACAATTTCAAGTTACGTAATTTTCCAAAATCCCATTTAGAGAAAAGAGATGGCTTTGATTCCAAGTTTATTTGGTGGTAGAAGGAGCAATATTTTCGACCCGTTTTCACTTGATATATTTGATCCATTTGAGGGCTTTCCATTTTCAGGCACTGTTGCTAATGTTCCATCCTCTGCTCGTGAAACCTCAGCTTTTGCAAATGCAAGAATTGATTGGAAAGAAACCCCAGATTCCCATATCTTCAAAATGGATGTTCCAGGTATGTAAATCGGGTTGTTTATATCGGGTCGGTTTTAACCTGTTTTGATGGTAGAAACGATACCAGGAGAGCTGTTATTTAGAAATTAGCCAATATATTCTATTTTTGGTTTTTCGGTATAATTTGAAGGTAAGAATTTTAGTTTAAATTTTCAAGACCGGCTAAATTCTAAATAGCATCCTAAAAATAGCTATTTACGACCAGGGGCAAATTCAATGTTCTAGCAATGTTTTAATCGAACGTATAACTTTCGATGCGAAGTAAAAATTATATTTAAAAATTTATTAAAATTATAAAATAGTAGATATGCATCTATAACTTAAAAAATATAATAAGTTTAATACTAAAAATTTTAAAAGTTAGAACCTATAAGTTTTAAATTTTGGATCCGCCTCCGCGACTACTTTCCCCGTTTTGATCAAATAGAACCGTTGGTCATTTCGAGTCTATAAATTTTGCAACGTTGCAGGGATTAAGAAAGAGGAAGTGAAAGTTGAAGTAGAAGAAGGAAGAGTGTTACAGATCAGTGGGGAGAGAAGCAGAGAGCAAGAGGAGAAGAATGACACGTGGCATCGTATGGAAAGGAGCAGTGGCAAGTTTATGAGAAGGTTTAGGCTGCCAGAAAATGCAAAAATGGAGGAAATTAAGGCTGCTATGGAAAATGGAGTGCTTACTGTAACTGTACCAAAAGAAGAAGAGAAGAAACCTGAAGTGAAAGCTATTGACATCTCTGGTTAAAAATAATTAGAGTTTAAGGTTGTTGTACTTGTGTGTAATTATGTGTGTTTAGTGAATAATCTTAAAATGTCTGTTGAAAGTTATTTTGGGTATTTTTAGTGTTAAGTTTGTAATGCGAATTAAGGTCTATATAATTTTATCTTCAAAAGGGTTGTGGATTTCTAATTTTGAGTTGTACTAGTACTAGTAATCAAGAGGATCATGTTAAGAGTGTTGATTTTGTATAAATAAATATTTGATAATCTTGTGTTTTTACTGTTTGTTTTCCCTCTATATTTATCCTGTACATCGTTACGGATTACATGTATTTTATGTTGGTGGGATGTAGAATTTTTTTTGGTTAGATGGAGTCTTACATTGCGCAAATTTAAATATAGTTGGATTCATATTGATTTTAATGTGAGTATCAGATATTGGGTGGAAATTAAAAAAATAATAATTTCAGAATTATAATTTCGGTGTTGTTGGGGTCTTTTTGCAACCAAACGACTCTTACGGGTCATAATTGGTGAAATGAATTTACAAATAATAATTAAGTTAGTGTTTGGATATAAATTTAATTGAAATTTAAATTTTTTGTTTTAAAAGTTATTAAAATATAATTTTTGGAAGTTTGAAGTAGTGTTTGAACGTGTTTTTTGTTTAAAAAAATTAAAATTTGTTGAGCGTTTGAAAAAATTTCTTAAAAGTCAATCTTTTGGAATTTGAATTTTTTTTTCCAAAAATGGATCAAATTTTATGAGAATGATTTTTTCCAATTTTTTTTTGAAGAGAAGTAGCTAAAATTTGTGTCCGAATGGGGTCTTATGAGTGTGGGTTGTAAATCGAGAAATTTTCCGAAATCACTATTCTCTCCGTCTCAATTTATGTGAACCTATTTGATTGGGCATAGAGTTAAAGAAAAAAATGAGATTTTTGGAATTTGTGGTTCTAAACTAGTCAAAAAGAGGCTCAGCGTATTTGTGTGGTTATAAAAACTTCTCATTAAGGGTAGAATTGTAAATTTAAGCTAAATTATTACCAAATTTAGAAAGGGGTCATTATTTTTGGAACGGACCAAAAAAGAAATAAGTTCACATAAACTAGAACAGAGGAAGTATTGTTTAGTGGCTAACATATACTTTCTATAGCTACTATTCAGTTGTTACTGTAGTGTATTCGCGCTATTGTATTCATGAATATAGTAACAAAAGTAGCCTAAAAACAGGGGTTACAATTGTACGCGACTGTATTCACATGTACTCATGTCATGTATTCATGAATACAGTAACGACAGTCACCTTAAAAATAGGTCTGTCCAGTTGTCTAATAACGAAAATATGATCAATTAGTATGATACACTCCTAATATAACTTAACAAAATCAATTCTAACACGCCTCATTATCAATCCAATTAATTAGAATAATTTTTTAGTTGTATATAATTGTTGTATTTAGTGTGTTTCAATATTTTTTTTAACTGTTGCATTCATTAGATTCAATGTTTGTATTTACTGTTTTCACTATTTTATATTCAATATATTCAAATGTATTTGTATTAACAGTATTTTTGTTATTCCTAATACATGTTATTATTGCTTTATTCAGTATATTTCATTGGTTGTATTCATTGTATTTCTATTTTTATTAGTGTATTTTAAATTCATGTATTCACTGTTTATATTCTGTTTTATTTCAAGGTTTGTATTTTGTATATTTCAATGTTTATATCATGTATTCATGCATACTTTATGTACAATATGCATGAATACAGGTGTATTCATCTGTATTAAAAAAATACAGACCTTTGAAACACATAAATACATGCAAAAAAATATATTTATATAAAATACAATGTGATTGAGTGAATTTGTACAAAATATAATGTATTTGTATCATTGTATGTGACTAAATAGCAAAGAAGAGAAGAAAGTTCGTCGGAGATAGTGTTTTCCGATCAAGCAAAATACTGTATACATTATATTAAAACTAAAAATAGAGACGAACAAACCCCTCAAATATTCTTCAGAGTAGAAAATATTGCAATTATTTGTCGTTCATGTTACAGTACCCCACTCGGATTATTCCGACATCGCTTTTGCTCCTCGCGCAGTGGCCCTAGCCTCAGAGCGACGAGCCCCTCCTTCCTATGGAGGAATATGATTTTGAAGAAAAGGTCCGTCTCTCTCCTCTTTCTCCCAACAGTTTAGAAGTATTTTCAATTGCGGTAACCCTAGAGCCAAAAAATTCACTATTAGAAGCATGCATTTTGCTCGGAGAGAGAGAGAGAAAGAAATTTTTTTTGAGAAAGAATAGTGTGTTAATTGAAAGAAAGAGAGATGAAAAACATAAATAGCGTATTTCACGCCTCAATGGTAGTTTAAACCATAAATACCTATTTTGCTATAAAATATAAAAGGTAGCCATAGAAAAAAATATTTTAAAATAATTTTGGTTTATAATAAATAGGGTGTATACCTTTGTAATAGGAAGTAAAATTTCCTTGTAAATTTTGGTAACATCTAAAATATTTCAACTTGGGTCATGGTAGTAGCCCAAACCAGCCCACATAAGAATTTTGTTAAAAATAGAAAAGAAGAAAGTCATGTTACATATGATTTTGCTTTATTATGCAATAAATAATTTTTAGTGACTTAATCGTATACCTAGAATTTCATTATTAAAGTTCACTCCTCTCAATTCTTTGGTTATAACCCTCCTTTTTTAATAGCTAAATATATTGAATTTGTTCCTAGGAGGTTAGACAGTTGAGAAAATGTAAACAATGAGAGCAAGCTTGGGGGCTGATTTATTGGCAGGAATCAATAGTGTGATGAGGTTGAATATAATAGAGTTGGTCTTAGTCTTACCAACTTTAATTTGAATAATTTAGCAACTTGTTCATGTACTTGTAATTCACAAAGAAAGACTATGCAGATTTTATATATGGTTATGTCTTTAATTTCAAAAAATAAATAAATTGTCCTTTGTTGTTCTTTCAAAATGTGACGAATCTAAAATTTATTTATGGTTAATGATTCAGAATATGTGTAATTTTATTATAAACTATGTGGAACTCTAGACGATCAAAAGGGTTGAAATTGAACGTATGCGTATATATATGAAGTTCGAGCTAAGAGCAATGAGTCTGGTAGAATGAGATTTGAAAATTAAGAGACATTTGTATTACTCACAAAATGTCCAAAATCACTATGTTGGAAATCTTGGCTAACGTAGAAAGTAGAGGAAGGAATATAAATGCATATTCATATTGCATGTAAACAAACGAATAAGTGTATGTCTTTAACATAAGGTTTATAATTTTATTATGAGTTCTTAAGCTTTGTTCTTTGACGATAAATAAGTTTTTTGCACCATTAGGTTGCTATTGGCTTATAATTAGACCTATCAAATGGGTCGGGTCGACTCACAAATCGGTCCATAAAATCCATTAAAATTGACCCTTTAACCGGTCCATAACTCACGAAATCGTAAACGGACCAACCCATTAATTTAAAGAGCTTGGGCCGAGGTATAATATTTTGACCCGCTGAACCGGGCCGGACCGAACCTGGACCAGTAGCTGACTCACGGGTCAATCGGCCCGGGCCAACTCTCACACACATACATTAAACTTTTTTAATTGAATTGGATTCGGCCCATTATGGCCCAGGTTAAGGGGTTACGGGTTACGAGTCGGGTCAAACATATTTTGATTAATGGGTCAAATTCGGACCGGCGCTTATAAGAAAGTGAACTGGACCGGTCCATTTAGGACTCACGGGCCAAGAGCCAACAAGTTCGGGTCCGGATCGGGTCGACCCATTTAACAGGTCTACTTATAATAGCAAATACTAACTTTTCCTAGCAAGTTGATATAGTAACACGAAAATAGAGTATTAATCACCTACAATCGGTTAAGCAACACATGTATTGTATAAATTCTTTACACTATATATATATAAAAGTGAAATCCTTTAACTATTTTTTCCGGTCCACTTTAATTAATTTTTTGGTTGTTTTCACATATATTAAGAAATTCATCTTTTAACATTAATTAGCAATGAAATTGACCGTATTAAACTTAATTTGTTCATTGAAAATACAATAAATATTCCTAAGCACTTTACTCCAGGAGTAACTTTGGAAAAAGAAAGTTAATTCTTTCTTGATATCTGAAAAAATTAAATATTGTGGACCATAAACAAAGATAAAAAATCAATTAAAGTAGGCCAAAAGGAGTGTAGTTAATTTATGGAGTGTTGAATAATGTTTTTGCTAGTAAGGGATTATATTTTTTGACAAATAAATGGGCAAGTAACTTTTGAGTTTTTCCTTCTTCTTTTTTATTTTTCCAACTTGAAAACTGGTTAGTTGAAGGCTAAGCTTTTAAGAGGAATAGATAATAGGGTAGTTGCAGAAACAAGTCATGTTTCATTATATTGCGGCAATTGCAGGCAGCTTTCATTCAATGCACAAATTCATGCATTTCCCGGGGCCAAAGTAAAACTAGTGTTGCCCATATAGCTCTTTAGGGCTCGTTTGGTACGAGGGATAAAGAATAATTAATTTTGAAATTAAATTTAAGAAAAGTAAATCTCATGTTTGGTTAGTAAAAAAGTATGGTATAATTAATTCCGAGATTATTTATTCCGGGATTATACTGTTTTTTTTATCCCCATGGAAATGTGGGATAACTAATCTCGAAATAACTAATCCCGGGATAATTAATCCTATGATAACTTCTTTCCAACCAAACGAACCTTTAGAGTGTTAAAAAAAGCCAACATAATCTAGACAAGAATCTAATGTATTTATGGATTGTTTCGTAGGATGTATTAGAGAAAATAATTATATATTAATTTTAGTATTATTAATCGCTTAAATGTAAATACTTGTATTAATTATACACCTTATTTAGTACTATTCTTATACATAACAAACTATGACATTAGCAATAACATGGTTTTTAATACATGAATAAGCATGTATAAAAGCAAAATTATCCTTTCAAAATCTTTAATACACCAAACCAAAATCCCAGCATAACTAATCTCAGCACTACTAATTCCAACATTACTAATATACCCTATTTAGGGGTGAAGTGCACCAATAGCCACTTTTAAGCTGCTATTTAAAATACGTCCAGAATTTACAAATATATTTAAAGATTAACCAATTTACCCAAACTTCAAGATTAAGTATCTTGAATTTTTGGGCCGCTAATTTGAAATTCAGGACTTGGTGTCCTAATTTTGAGCTGCTAATTTGAAATT